GGAAGTAGGATGATTGAGTTTCTCAGGTATTTCCTTTTTTTTTTTTTGGCCTTTGATGCTGACATATTGTTTTTCCGAGGGGTCACACCTATTTTCCTTGTTACCAGCACTGTTTAAATGTCTACTAGATACCATTGATCATATGGTATACCATCATTTTATGAATTGCTTTAAAAAAAAAGCCTTTCTGTTAAATAGGCATGATACGTTTTAAAATATTTTATTTATTTTTTATTATTTTATTTATTTATTTTTTAAAAGATTTTATTTATTTATTTGACAGACAGAGATCACAACTAGGCAGAGAGGCAGGCGGAGAAAGAGAGGAGAAAGCAGGCTCCCCGCTGAGCAGAGAGCCCGATGTGGGGCTCCATCCCAGGACCCTGGGATCATGACCTGAGCCGAAGGCAGAGGCTTTAAACCACTGAGCCACCCAGGCGCCCCAAAGATTTTATTTATTTATTAGAACACACGAGAGCTAGAGAGAGCACAAGCAGGGGAAGGGGCAGAGGGAGGAGCAGGCTCCCCACTGAGCAGGGAGCCAGATGTAGAAATTAATCCTAGGGATCACAACCTGAGCTGAAGGCAGTCACTTAACCATCTGAGCCACCCAGGCATCCCCACACAATACTTTCTTATTGATAATTTTTATTGAATACTTACTAGAAGATACCTTTTAGGTGTGGGTAGATTTTTATCGTATCACTCTTGAATGTACACATTAAATGAAAAATACACGGGTAAAATGGTTAGGGTATTTCAAAGCTTCACACTTAACATGCAGTTCTTCTGTGATATTTTTGGACTCAAAGTAGTTGTCTTTATTTTTCTATGCTATTCATTGAGAATGTTGGTGTTAGCAGAAGACTAATAATCCAATTTAAAAATTCTTTTGAGGGGACGCCTGGGTGGCTCAGTTGGTTGGACGACTGCCTTCAGCTCAGGTCATGATCCCGGAGTCCCGGGATCGAGTCCCACATCGGGCTCCCAGCTCCATGGGGAGTCTGCTTCTCCCTCTGACCTTCTCCTCGTTCATGCTCTCTCTCACTGTCTCGCTCTCAAATAAATAAATAAAATCTTTAAAAATTCTTTTGAAAATTCTTGACTAGAGCTTTCTCCAAAGAAGACATACAGACAGTCAACAGGTATCTGGATAGTTGCTCAGTGTCACTCATCATCAGAAAAATGCACATCAAAACTGCAATGAGATATCACCTTATACCTGTTAGAGTGGCTAGTAGTAAAAAAGCAAAATTGGGGCACCTGGGTGGCTCAGTTGCTTAAGTGTCTGACTCTTGGTTTTGGTTCAGGTCCAATCGCATGGGTCCTGGGTCTGCATCCAGCTGCTTGAGGTTTTGCTCCCTCTGCCCTTCCCTAGCTCACCCACTTATTCATGTGTATGCACTTTGTCTTTCTCAAGTAAATCTTTAAAAAAAAAAAATCAAAAAGTGTTGGTGAAAATGTGGAGAAATTAGAACCCTAGTACACTACTGGTAGGAGTCCAAAATGGTGCAGCCGCTGTGGAAAACAGTATGGAGTTTTCTCAAAAAAATTAATGATCCCTATGATCCAGGAATTGCACTTCTGGGTATTTAAACAGAAGAACTGAAATCAGGATCTTGAAGAATTATTAACACTCCTACATCCATTGTAATTATTCCTAATAGCCAGGTTATGGAAACAATTTAAATATCTACCAAAGGAGGAATGGATAAAGAAGATGTGATATATACACACAAAGTACTATTCAGCCTTAATAAATAGAAATCCTATAATATGTGACAATATGGATGAACCTTGAGGAAATTATGCTGAATGAAATAAACCAGTCACAAGGACAAATAATTCATGATTCCAGTTATAGAGATATCTTAAATAGTCAAACTCAACAGAGGCAGAGGGTAGAATGATGGGATTGGAGGGGGAAATGGGTTGTTAACCAACAGATACAAAGTGTCAGTTCTGGAAGGTACATCCATGCTCTAAAAAGTTGTGCCTGTAGTTAGCAGTACTGTTGTACTCTTATAAAATCTGTTAAGGGGGAGATCTCATGTTAAGTGTTTTTATCAAAATAAAAATTTTTTTTAGTGTTGATGATAAAACATTTCTTACGAGTGGCTAATAATTACATGATGCTCTCAATTATAAATTGCTGTGGGTTTCAGATGTTTTAAAATGTGAAAGATTGCATCCTAGAATCACTAAAGTATGGTGATTTCACTATAATCTTATTGAGAGTCATCATTTAATTTTTTCCCTAACCCAGTAAAATATAAAAATGCCTTCTGTATAAATTTTAATTTTCACTTTTGTTATTAATGAGGGATATTTTTCAGTATCTATAGGAATATTATTTTAGCAACTATTAAGATCTTTAGTACTGAAACTGAAGGTGAGATTGTAGTTTCTCATTCAAGTTTACCAAGTTTTTCTTCAAGGAACCACTTAATGTAAGTATTACTTGATTTTGTTAAAGTGTAATTGCTCTCTGAAACTGGCATTTATGACTGGTGTAAAGCAGTCATTCTTGAATTTGTTTATTAGAATCACCAGGGAGCCTGTTGGAGTTTGAGTAATTTAGTGTGGCGTGGGGTGCAGGCATTTGTATTCATAACAAATACCCCAGGTGATCCCCATGCTCGTGGACCACAGTGAGAAGGTACAAAAGGTTGAGATAGAGCTATAGATTTTCTCTTTGGTAATAGTGGCTGGAAATTTACAGAAGTTGAATACATGATTAGAAAGCCATGGAAACTTGTTAATAAACAGCTTTTGGTGTTAGGGAGTGAGGTTGTATGTTAAATGTAAAGGGTCTGGCATGTCTAGGTTCTTTTTCTTTATTATTATTATTTTTTTAAGATTTAAGGGTGCGTGGGTGGCTCATTCAGTTAAGCATCTGTCTGCCTTTGGCTCAGGTCATGATCTTGGGGTCCTGGGATCGAGTCTCACATCTGGCTTCCTGCTCAGTGGGGAATCTGCTTTTCCCCTCTTCCTCTTTCTCTGCCCCCTGCTTGTGCTCTCTCTTTTGCTCTCTCTCAAATTAATTAATATTAAAAAAATAGAAGATTTTGTTTACTCATTTGAGTTAGAGAGAGAGAGCATGAGCATGGGGGAGAGGCAGAGGGAGAGGGAGAAGCAGGCTCCCTGCTGAGCCAGGAGTCTGCCAGGGGGTTAGATTCTAGGACCTAGAGATTATGACCTAAGCTGAAGGCAGATGCTTAACCATCTGAGCTACCCAGGCAACCCTTTTTTTTGTTTGTTTTAAAGATTTTATTTATTTGAGAGACTGAGAGAGAGGACAGCAAGCATGAGTGGGTGGCGTGTTTAAGTTCTTAAGGAGGAGAATTACATGGCAAGTTGGGGTTGTTGAATGTTACATGTAATTCTATCTTCTGTAACACTGTGAAAAAAAAGAAAAATGGAGATTTCTGTTGAGGTGATTCTTTTATGGGTAATTGCTTCATTTCAAGACTTTCTCAGTACCACTTTTATCTAGCGTAGACCAAGATTAGGCTAAAACAAGGTGCAGTCGATTAAGTGGAGTATAAGCTCCATGAAGGAGATGGTGTTCTTCTGTCAATAGTCTCTCAAACAGTGCTTGGCACATGGTAGACTTCTGGTAATAGGCTGAATGCATGAATATGCACTACAGTGTACGTATCAAGGACTCTTCAGGGAGGAACAGTTTGCTTTGAATCCCTTAAAATTACCTATGAAAAGCTGTTACAATTGATTTTACATAGAATTTATATTAAACCTGTGGATTTTTAGGGGCGCCTGCATGGCTTAGTCGTTAGGCTCTGCCTTTGGCTCAGGTCATGATCCTAGGGTCCTGGGATTGAGTTCCGCATCGGGTTCCCTGCTTGGTGGGGAGCCTACTTCTCCCACTCTCAACTCCCCCTGCTTGTGTTCCCTCTCTCGCTGTGTCTCTTTCTGTCAAATAAATAAATAAAATCTTTAAAAAACCCTTTTAATTGAAGTTCATTTATCATTAAAATCATGGGAGAAGCGGATGCCCTGCTGAGCAGGGAACCAGAGTCAGGGCTCCATCCCAGGACCCTAAGATGAGATATGTCCTGAGCCGATAAAGACTGAGCCACCCAGGTGCCCCTATTATTTGGATTCTTTGCCTGTAAATTACATTTTAAATTTATAATTGCTATTACAAATAGTGCTTTTGTAGTAAAAGCATTTTTATTTTCTTTTTAGGAGTTAACAGAGCAGTTTCATCAAGTTGAATCCCAGTTGAATAAGCTAAATCATCTTCTTACTGATATTCTTGCTGATGTGAAGACAAAGAGAAAAATTTTGGCATCTAATAAACTGCATCAAATGGAAAGAGAATTATATGTATATTTTTTAAAAGATGAAGATTATCTGAAAGATATCGTGGAGAATTTAGAAAACCAGTCAAAGATTAAGGCTGTTGGTCTCGAAGATTGAAAATTACTAAAAACTGAATATTTACTAAATATGCTATGTTTTAATGTTTTATATATTAGGAAAATAGATCTAATAAACCCTACTAATATTTTAAATTTGAGGCCAATGGAATATTTCATTTAATTCAAGTATCATATTGGTTTGTTTTTTTCTGTGTATAGTATGTTCGAAGTACCAGTGCCTTCTATGAATTGAACATTTGCTTGGTGGCATTGAGTTCTGGTAACTTTCTACTTACAGGGAAAGAATATTATTATATAATGTAAATATTTCTTAATAGAATTAGTTTTCTCTCTCCTTTACTATTTTTTTAGAAATGGGAATTTTCTACTGTTAAATATTTTAAACCTTTGTAGAACTTAGAATCAGCATTGTTAAACCTGTGGACCGTAATATATGGAATAGCCAAGTCCCTCGTATTTGGTTATAAAGTAAAACTCAGCCACTCAAACTGTAATTCCTGTAGTTCCCTGCTGTAGACTTTGAGACTCTCTGCTCCTGTTTGTGCCCTGTGTCCTGTGCCCCCAGGACCCAGCTACTAAAATGAACAATGATCATTGTTCATTTTAGTAGCTGGGTCCTGGGGGCTCAGAATTTCTACAGGACAGATCTTAATGGTACTTGGAGTTCCATGTGACTTACACATTTTGGAAATACCGTATAAGTGGTTTCTCGGAGGATGTATAATGCTATTTTAATCAGTTTCTCTGGAGTGAAAATACTTAAGTCTTAGATTGTATTAGTTGGGATACAAATATATTATTTGGACAAATAGAAATTATTTTGAGTAGTATGAAATCATTTGAAGTAGCTTATTTATCCATTATAACATCGAATGCTTCTTGAGTGCTTGATTTATATGTGGCCTGTGATACATACAACACAAAATTTATAGAGGAACAAGAAGCTAGAGTATTACCTTCAACAATATTCCTAAAAAAAAAAAAAAAAGAATATTCCTGCTCCAGAATATATTGCCTTTTTAATATGGAATGCCAGTCTAAAAGCTATGCATTTTAGGTGGTATTTGTGGAATTCTTTAATTATACCCATCGGAACATGGGTACACTTAGGTGACAGATAAGTCTTGATAATTTTTATAATCTGTTGAACAAAAATATCTTGCCAATTATAGTATTTTTACATTATTGAAAAATTTATATTTATTAAATAGATCTAAATATGCATGAAAAATTTATAACAAATGTTGTCTAAGATTTTGGTATTAGCTCCTCATGGGCGACTTGTTCCTTTTTAAATTTTTTTCCTATTCTAGAGTGGAATAGAGAATTTATTTCAAATTTTTCTTTTCTCCAGTAATGTGGAAAAATATGTCACCTGGTTTCCTGGCTCATGAAAGCAAATTCTGTTCAGATTTGTGCCAGATAGGATAGATGTATGACCAGCTACTTGATGGTTTGTACTGTCTCTTCCAGACCTTTACTGGCCCAGCCCAGGGGCCAGTAGAACTGAGCAGTATGCACAAGATGATGTCAGGTTGTGTGTCTATCAGATAAATTACCCAAGTCCATTAAATATTTTTATTTAATTAAATTTGATTAAAAATTAAAATAATTTTTCTGTAATTAGATTTGTATATTTGAAGATTATAACAGCCATTGGCTTCAGACCTCAGGAAGTAACATGAATAGGTTGCTTGCTTCAAAATTGTTTGACTAGAAAATGTATTCTTTGTTCCCTGTTTACCAGGATATTCCAGGTGAGCCTCTGTCTTGCTCCATTCTTACTTTTGTATCATTGATTATGGAGGCAACTGCTACCTATTTTCCATGGTCATTATTAGAGTAATTTGTATGAATGCCTCTGGCTGTAATGTGCTGCTTACTTTGAAGTCTCAAAGTTAACATGTGGATGTTATGTTTATCTTATGTTTAGGATTTATGAAAATGGAAAATTATGAGGCATTTGTAGGCTTTGATCTCTGTGAGATACCACTCTCCAGTGTTGCACAGAAGATCATGTCTGCTATGCATTCAGGTGATTTAGTGGAGTCTCAGAATTGGAGAGAGAATGAAAAGAGTGAGTAATTTTTCTAATCATCTTTCTATCTTTTGTTACCTTGAATGTTAATTATTAAGATTTGAAAAGGAAACAGCAGACTTGTTCTCAGGAACCTTCTATTGTGTAGGGAGGTTTTTGCTGCAGACAAATGGAGCCTGGGTCTTGGTTTATTCTCATTCCATTATGACTGAGCATCTCACTAGAGTGCACATTCTCTCTGCCCTTACTGCTTTAAAATGGAAACACTGTCTTCCTTATCCCAGACATTTCTGTCAGACATTTCCTGAGAATCCGAGTCAGCTGTTTCAGTAACCTCAGAAGAGCTAGTCTCTTTCACAGTGCCCCTGCTTCGGCCTTAGCTCTCGGGTCATTGGACACACGTGGACATTGTACTTCCTTGCTGTGTGTGGCGGATGGGAGAAGGGGGTTTGACTGTATGTCTGTCTTACGCTGCCCGAGAGCTATGAGCTCTCAGGTGTGTGTGTTTATGATGTGATGTCACATAGCAGTGGCGTGGGCGCACAAGTGTGACTGAGACTTTCGGAACACCAGTTCTTTGTTTTACTTGCAAAGCAGTTTGTTGTTGCTTGTGTCTTAATATTTAAGTCTGGGCCAATAATTTGTCGTTTCTTTTCTGCGTAGTGAGTTATATGTGAGATATAATTGAGTGATTGTGACAAAGTCATTGAGAGCGTTGACAAATAGTGCAAAAGCTATGTAAGTGTAGTTTCTTGATTAAGATATAGTAGCACCGAACATTGCGGTCTCTTCGTATTCAGGCATCTGTTGCTCATGAGCCTCATAATAGAAGGTCATTGGTAAATGAACTGCTAGGAAGTTTTGGGTATGGACCACATACCTAGCAGTTGATAATGTTTTGGGGGATGGGGATGTGGGTAGTAAAGAAGATAAATATTTAAACATCGAAGAGTTTTTTCCTTTATTCTGTATTCTTTCTAAAATAGCAGTGGGCACTTGACAGAGGTGGAAATGTACTTCCCTTTAAAAACTGATAGGAATAAAAAAGAAGTAGTGATAGGAATAATGAAATGCCTCTGGTAGCTTCAGTGTGAGTCTCACTTGAGAAAGATTTAGGGCCGTTAGCCCATCTTGTGAACTCTCTTGTGATGCTCTTCAAATACCCTATAAAATTGTGTAGTTTTCACAAATTTATTGAGAGGTAATGGGAAAAGATACTATTTTTCTTTTAAGTGTTACTGCATTTGGAAAAATCGCATACATTTCACAAAGATTCTGTATTGTCTATTGCTGAACAACACTGTTACTACAAACTTAGTGATATAAAAGAAGGCATATTTGTTATCTCCCAGTTTCTGTGGGTCAGGAGCCTGGGCATAACTTGGCTTCATCCTCTGCTGGGCTAGAATGCGGACATATCCGCAAGAGCTCAGGTCTCATCTGAAGCTCAAGTGGAGGTCATTTGCTTCCAGTTCACAAGGTTGTTGGCAGATTCAGTTCCTTATAGGCTCCTGGGCTGAGAGCCTCTGTTCTCCCCAGCTCTTCATTGTAACCCACCCTCCATTCCTTTCCACGTTGTTCTCCTGAGGCTCAGCTTTACTGACAGCAGCTTGCTTTTTCTCTGGCGAGACTGACATCACAGTCTTCTGCGATGTGATTGTGAACTTCCTGTCACAGGTGCTGTACTCTCTGGGTGTTGAGTAAGCCAGGAAGTCCCACCTGCACTCAAGGGTGTGAGTACTAGGGGGCAGGGGTCGTGGGACCACCCTGGAATCCATCTGCTACAGACTTCTCACCAGTTTTAGTTCTTACTTCATGTGGATTTGGTTAAGTTGGGCTGCTGGTGGGTTGTTGATGCATGATGCTGGACCTGAGATCTAGTTGCTTCTTGGACTCTAGTCACAGGTTGAGCTGTAATTGTGTCACACCCTTATCTCTTTTTAAATTTAATTTAACTCTATTTATTTGAAAGAGAGACAGAGATAGTGACAGAGATAGCGAGAGAGCACGAGCAGGGAGGAGCTGGAGGAACAGGCTCCGCCCTGAGCAGGGAGCCCAACATGGGTACCATTCCAGGGCTTCGGGGACCATGACCTGAGCTGAAGGCAGATGCTCAGCCCACTGAGCCACCCAGGCACCCCGACCCTTACCTCTTAAAAGGAGAATACTGTAAATCCGCATTTCATTTCTAAAGCCCATTTTGTACTAAATAAATATAAAAATCGAACTCCTAAATCAATGAGAGTAACTACAGATATTTGTTATTACAAACAAGTAAAACCAAACATTAGTGTTATATGTCACTTTAGGGTTTACGTGTCTTACGTGCTGGGCTGAGGGATGTCAAGATGCACACCCAGTAAGGGTTGGACTGTGTATGTCTTCTTGCTGCAAGATTGATTTTTTTTTTTTTTAAGATTTCATTTATTTGTTTGTCAGAGAGAGAGGCAGGCAGAGCGGCAGCAGAGGCAGAGGGAGAAGCAGGCTCCCTGCCGAGCAAGGAGCCCGACTCGGGACTCTATCTCAGGACGCTGGGACCACAACCCGAGCTGAAGGCAGCTGCCCAACCGACTGAGCCCCCCAGGTGTCCCAGAGTGATCTTTATTTAAAAACCCTCTGCTATGGGGCACCTGGGTGGCTCAGTCATTAAGCATCTGCTTTCAACTCGGGTCATGATCCCCGGGTCCTGGGATCTGACCCCATGGTGGGCTCCCTGCTTGGCGGGAAGCCTGCTTCTCCCTCCGCTTGTGTTCCCTCTCTCGCTGTTTCTCTGTCAAATAAATAAAATCTTTTATGAATACATACATACTTATCTATTCTTTGCTGTGAAAACACAAAATATGCAAAAACTTAAACTATAGTTTAACGAATGAAGATAAAGAGGATTTCCATGTCCTTGCATCCAGAACCTCGAAGTTTCTTTCTCTGTGAGAACTCCCTCCCTGCTCAAGGTAGGCATCGTCCTGACCTGTGGCCATCTCTTCCACTTCCTGACCACGGGCATTTTATGTTGCTCAAGAGTACTTCTGGGGCAGAGATTACTTGTACTCCATGCCAGTGTTTGTCCTGCCCTTCAGACTACATGCTCTGTCTCCTTGCCATCGGGTGTGACCCGCGTGCCTGTTAGTGGGATGTGTGCTCAGGTGGTGTGTGTCATGTCCAGGGCAGGACTCTGTCCTGCTCTCCAGTAGGAACCCTTCTTTTGAACTCTGCACTTGAAGCCGTGTCCTGGAGGATTGCACAACGTGTCGGAAGCACCCCAGTCCTGGAGAGGCTGCATGAAGCATGTCTAGCCAGCTGAGAATACTCCCCTCTGAACATGAAAGAGAAATAAACTTTGTTCTTCCAACTGTTGTCCTGTTGGGTCTTTTGTGACTGTGGTTTAGCTTTGTACTTCAATCCATGCACCTTTAAACTACATTGAAAAGTGGGTTCATCTCACTTAAATTTTTGTTGTCATTTGATGGGTTAGTAATGCTGTTGAAAGCTTTTGGTAATTATGTGGGAGGAGGAGTTTGCAGGGCGGCCCAGGGTTACCAGCTGACCCGCGGCCATGTCCAGCGCTATATGGAGGAGTCATCACGTGTTATTAGAAGATGTCTCTGCTTTGTCTGAGTAGCTATAGAAATCAAATAATGTTTTCTGGTACAATTGTTTTTTATTTTAATAGCTTAGATGTGAATTTGGTTTTCCAGTAAAAAAAAAATACACATATATATGTGTGTGTGCGTATGTGTATGTATATTTATATACATGTGTTTATGATATGTACATATGTGTGTGTGTGTGTATTTTTTTAAGATTTTATTTACTTATTTGACAGAGATCGCAAGTAGCCAGAGAGTCAGGCAGAGAGAGAGGGGGAAGCAGGCTCTCTGCTCAGCAGGGATGCTGAGGCAGATGGGAGGCTTGATCCCAGTACCCTGAGATCATGACCTGAGCTGAAAGCAGCAGCTTAATCCACTGAGCCGCCCAGGTGCCCCATGTGTGTGTGTATATTTTTACAGACATTACAAAGTAATATAGTTTGAGACCCCAAAGGAAAATATTCATGAAAATCCAGTTCATTAATGTGAAGGTTGTCTTTATCCCACCATCCAATAGAAATCCTTGAGATTTCAAGGACAGATAACATAAAATTAAATTACTGAACAGATCTGTCTCGATTATGTTCATTATAGTCAAGAGTATAATGGATAAACATGTTGTATTATTTTTATTTCTATTAAATAAACATAAAATCCTTATGTCCAGTCACTTAGCAAGCCCCGCCAGGTGTTGGATTTCAATCCCTACTGCCCTCGTACAAGCCTGCCTTCCTCCTCACTCGGATTTTGGTAGTGGCTTCCTCATTGCTGTTCACCTTCATTATTGCCCCTTGTCTTGTCCTCATGCCTTTGCTAGAACTAGCTCAGCTCTGTCCCTGCCCTCTGCAGAATTCACCTACAGAAACATCCCATGTACTCAGATCCCTGCTTGCCCTGTTCAGTCTTTTTTTTTTTTCCCCCAGTCTTCTGCCCCACCACCTCCCTCTCTTACTCTATACCCCATTCAGATTTGGCTGCAACCTCCAAACATGACATTTTCCAGTATCATCCTCTACTTACCCTTTTCTTTCTCTTTAATTCAGTTGAGTGGTGAGAGCAGCATTTTACAAGGTCCTGCTCAAAATACTTTTTGTGGGGTACCTGGGTGGCTCAGATTAAGTGTGTGCCTTTGGCTCAGGTCGTAATCTCAGGGTCTTGGAATAGAGTGCCATGTTGGGCTCCTGGCTCAGCGGGGAGCCTGCTTCTCCCTCTCCCTGCCCACCCTGTTCCTGCTCTCTCTCAACATTTTTTTTAAAGACTTATTTGAGAGAGAAAGCATGAGTGGAGGGAAGGGCAGAGGGAGAGGAAGCAGACCCTCCCATCCCCTGCTGAGTGTTGGACTGAATATGGGGCTCCATCTCAGGACCTGAGCCTAAATCAAGAGTTGGGTGCCCCGCCGACTGAGTCACCCAGGCCTGTTGCTCAGAACACTGCCACCAGTATGCCTTTTTA